GTCTCATAGCTAAAGTTTATAGCGTGCTTGAACGGTCTAGGCACTTTATAGGAACTGTCTCCTGAGTGCTCATGGTAACCTTATGAGACAGGTCCCCGCGTTATCCCCACTTCCTAGGTGGGAAAACTGAGGCACAGAGCATTAGAAATGCCAAAGGTCAGGTGTCAGTGGGTGGTGCACCTGGAATTTGAACTCCGGGCCGCATGTCACACCATTTGCCTCTAGCCATCCAAGCCCTTCTGAGTCCCTGCCCCCAGCGCAGGCAGATGTGCTCTCAGCAGGGTTCAGAGAGGGTGCTCAGAAGCAGGCTGACGGTAATTACTGTTTGCATTGTGCTTGCACGGTTCCCACCCGCATCGCACCCCCACGGCAAGCCGATGGAGCAGATAGCAGCCTTATTAGCCCCATTCTGCAGATGAAACAACTGGCTCAGCCACTTGGCCAAGGCTGCCTGACCTGTAAGGGCAGAGTCAGGCCCGGAGCTCAGGTCTCCAGCCTCCAAGAGAGAGACCCAGGCACGTTCCATGGAACCGGGAGCCTTGCCCCGTGCCATTTGCATGTCAACAGGGAGCAGGCCCGTCCACCAAAGAGCGAGCTGCTGAGGGTGGAATGCCAGGCGTGGGCCAGGCGGGCGGAGGTGCCAGGGGCCTGGCGTGGTTGGGAGGATGGTGTCTCCCCGGAAGACCTGTAGCAATGTCACGTACGAGGTCCTCTGGCCCTGCCTAGAAAGCTGCACTCCTGACTCACCCTCTTCCTTATTCTCAGCCCGGGCTGAGGGACAAACACATGCCCCGCCGGTCCCGGAAGGCCGCGCTGGGCCCTGCCTGAGTGGGTGCGGGGCGTGGAGGCAGCGTTCTGCTCGGAGAGCTTGCTTTGCCTCTAGCTCGAACCCCAAGTGGAAACAGGGAGGGAAGGGGCTGGTGGGGCCTCTGCTTGCCCTTTAAGTTTCTTTGCTCCCTGTGGAATGGGAGGCTGAAGCCAGGGCTGCCAGAAGCAGTAGGGGAGAGGGGCCCCTCCTGAAACCTCTAAGCCGGGGTTCTTACCTCGCCGCTGCTGCCGTTGGTGCTGAGCTGTCTGTGCACTGGGCCTGACTAAGCCTCAGCAGCACCCCTGGCCTCAACCCAGGAGATGTCAGCACCGCCCCCCCCCTTGTGACAACCAGAAATGTGTCCAGAATTGCCAATGGCCCCTGGGGAAAATTCTCCCCCCCCCCTCTCACACACACACACACACACACACACACACACACACACACACACGCACACACATGCACGTGTCCTGACTGGGGAGGAGATGGTTAAATGAAACCAGATGTTAACCTGGAAAGTATGCAGTGAGGCCCCACCCTCCCTCCCGAGCTGCCTGTGCTCCGGGCTTAGTCACCTGCTGCCTCGCTGGGCCCCCAGAAGGGGCAAGGCAAGGAGAGGGCCGCCTGGGCTTCCCCCTCCTCCCCTCCTTGCCAAATATCTTCCCTTCCTCCTCCCTCTCTTCTTCCTCCTTCTGGAGACTGCCCAGTCCCTCTGTCCCTGGTTCAGTGAAGCCTCATCCCTGGGTGTGCTTGGGGGCCTGGGGCCCCCCACCAGGCTCTGAGGGTTGCAGCAGCAGCAGCAGCAGCAGCTGGGACATAGCTGTCGGGTGAGCCGGAGGCAGGTGAGCCGGAGGCAGGGCCTGAGCTGGGCAGAGGAAGGGCTGTGTTCAAATCCTGGTTCCCCCACTAACCAGTCACTAGACCTGGAACTTCTACAAGGCGCTTTCCCAGCACCTCACTACCTGCATGAACTCAACCAAGTGCTCAGACGCCCTGAGCCTCAGTCCCTGCATTTGAGGAATAGGAGTGACATCTCAAATGCCTCTGAGGAGAACTGGCACTGATAGATTCTCAATTTTGTTGGCAAAGAGGGTCATCCTTCCTTCTGTGGAGTCTCTGGTAAGATCCTCCACCCCAAACACTCTGAACACACCTGCCCCCGTTACCCCTGACACCAGCCTCCGGAGCCCGAGGGGCTGAGACTGAGGGTGGAGTGGGGAGCAGGCGCGGTGGGGGTTGGGCCTCTGCAGGTCCCTCGTCGCCATGGCCACAGGCGGAGCCCTGCTGTCCTGTCGGAAGGGCCGGAACCCCCACATTCTCAGAATCACACTTCACAGGAAGAAACCCGAGCTGCTCCCGTGGCCCAGGAAAAGGGAAGATTCTACTGGGCCAGGCTCTCACCCTCAACGCCGGGGATAGAGGTTGTCATGGGCTCCATGGCAGTGACTCTCACTGCCTGCAGGTGGCGCTGGCAGCGATGAGGGCCAGTTTTGGCTGTCACCACTGGGAAGCGGGTAAAGTGAGTAGATGCCAGGGATGCTGCAGACGGGCCTGCCACGCACAGGCCAGTGCCCCCACAAAGAATCATCCAGCCCCAGATGCCAAGGTGCTGAGGTGAGAAGCCCTCTGCCAGCCTTCGTATCTGTGTTCCTCTCTGGAAAGTCTCACCCAGGGCCTGGCATATCAGGGGGATAGATTTGAACGAATGAAGCAACCAATATCGTGCCATCAGCTCTGCAGAGGGAGGGCTATTCAGAGTATAATTGTCAGTGCCTTGTCCTGTCCACGCAGAGTCCAAGAACCCAGAACCCAGCCCCAGCATTCAAACCCCCAGCGGTCCGGCCACCCTGGCCATCCGGCTGCCTGGCCCTCTGGGGGGCCTGGGGTGGGAGGGCCGCCCCGCGCGCCTGACAGGAGCTCAGCACGTAGATGAGATGCTAGCAGATGTACGTGACTTGGTAGGCTTGTCCCCACAGTGTAGTGGGCACAGGATACATCATGGAGTACAGGCTGTGGACCGTGGGGTCAGCCAGGCCTGGGTTCAAATCTCGGCCTGGCTTTTCCTGGCTAAATGACCTCCTTACTTTGTTTTCTCAGCTTGAAATGGGTTAACAATAATGCCTTCGCTAAGGAGTTACTGGGAGGGTTAGAAGCGATAATCCACTTAGTTCGGTGCGACGGTGTTCAGGGCCTGAGGGGGAAAGTGATGGCCGATGACCGCCATCACAGCTCATTTCCCGAGCTTGCTCCTCTGTGTGTGATCCCGCATCCCGGGGCGGAGCCTGGAGTCAGGTAGACTCTGAACACCCGCTCACGCCAGCTCCAGCTGGGCTGGGTGCCACGCGGGGGAAGCCCCAGGGACACAGGCACGCAGGATGTGGTCCTGGCCACTGGGAGCGGTGAGCAGCTTGCTGGAACCTCAGCAGGAGCCGAAGAACCACAGTTTGGGAATACGATGAGGCAGGCACAGCGCCCGGGGGCCGCGCTAAGCAGGCACTCCCTGCCCCGCACCACTCCGCACGACTCCGAGTGATGCACTGGCCTCACCCTAGTCCTCCCCTGCAGACTCACATGCCGAGAGGAGGCCTGAAGCATGGGGGTGGGGGTGGAGGCAGGGACTGCAGCACCAGGGGCTTCCTGGAGGAGGTGTCCCCAGAGCCGCTGGCTTGAAAGGAGAGGGAGAATTTTGAAATGCAAAGCTGAGGCATATAATACACTCGTGGACAGGAACCTGTAAGAGCAAGGGCTGCCTTCGGGAAAGCCCTGGGCATGTTTGAATTGTGCAAATCGTTTGTAAATTAAATGCAAAGGAGTGTGCACCGGGACTTGAGGACCAGGGATTTCTTTTGTAAAACGCTGGGGCTCAGGGTCAGTGACTCTGCAGCTGGGGGTCCTTTCCCAGTTCCCAGGGGCTGCTTCTCTGCAGAAAGAAATTGGCTTCCCCTTCCCATGCTCTCTCCCCGATGTGTCGGGGGAAGCAGCACAGGGCCAGCCTAGCACACAGCACCGTCCTTCCGGGAGCACTGTCTTGCCTCCAAAGATCCCCAGGGAAGTGGGCATTTGGTAGCCAGGAGACAGTGTGGGGTTCAAAGTCAGAGGACAGTCAAGGAGGCCATGGCAGAGGAAGAAATGTGGCAACAGGGACCTCCTAGGGGCGGACACCACCCCTGACCATGACACACGTAACAATGAGACGTTCTAAAATGGAATGGGCCGGCCGGCGCCCGGGGCCAGCCCTCACCGGAACCAGTTCCTGTGCAGCCACGTCTGGTGCGTTCGCATGAGCACTCTGAGTGAGAGGAGGAGTGAAACCTGGCAGGATGAGGGTGAGCGGGAGCGCTGGGCTGAGAGAATCTCGCTGGTGAAGGGAGGGAGGGTGCGGGCTGGGGCGATGCCGGGGCCACGGCCTGGCGGCCTGGGAGGGAACACGTGGCGGAGGGTGATGGGCAGATGGCGAGGCCTGAACACGGTGCAGGAGCCCCGCACGGAGGCTCCTTCTTCCAGGCGGGGCCTGGGCTTTCCTCTGGAGGCAGGAGAAACCCAAGGAGGTTCTGAGGAGAAGGGCCTCTGATCTGGCCATGGACCCGGAAAGATGAGAGTGAGTGTGAAGCAGAGGCTGAAGGAGGCAGGAAGACGAGAGAGAGAGAGAGAGAGAGAGAGAGAGAGAGAGAGAGAGAGAGAGAGAGAGAGAGAGGAATAGAGAGGAGGAGGAGAGGGAGAGGGAGAGGAGAGGGAGAAGAGAGGGAGAGGAGAAGGAGAGAGGGGAGGGGGGGTAGGGAGAGAACTGAGTGACCCTGCAGGAGGCAGGGGGTGCAGAGGGCAGGGAGAGAGGGGCCAGAGGAGTGTGAGCTGGGGACCCTGACAGACAGGTGGGGTGAGGGAGGGACGGGAGGGTTTTGAGGTGTCCCCAGGCTCCCGGCCTCTGAGCCCGCAGAGGCCTCTGCGAAGCAGGTGGAGGTCTGCATTGCGGCGGGTGGGTTGGCAAACCGAACCATGAAGGTGCTGCCTGGAGGTGCCTGGCTCCTGCAGCCTGCAGAGCTGTGCAGGGGGGGGGGAGGGGGGATAGTTGTGTAGGGGTGGAGGAGGACTCCGGGGCTCTGACCAGGGCCCCTCTGCTTTCCCTCCTGCCCCTGGCCCCAGCAGGCAAGTGCCAGTGTGGTGTCCCGCTCTCCCTTTCTCTCCTCCCTCCCAGGACTCCCAGGAGCCCTCCACACCCAGCTATGTGCTGAAGGCGGCGCTGGGCAAGAAGGGGAAGGTGGCCCTGGCGTGGCCGCCGCTGTCCCGGTCCTGGAAGAGGGACCGTGAGCAGGCTCTGGCCGCAGCGTACATGCCGGTGGTGGTGGACCTCAGGGGCCAGAGCCAGGACAAGTTCACCTTCAACTTCTACACCTCCCAGTACCCCAACACCCTGAGCCCCTTCTGCACCATGCAGAAGCCCACGTGCGGCTACCTGTACCGCCGGGACACGGACCACACCCGCAAGCGCTTGGACATGCCTCCTGCCAACGCGGTTCTGTGGCGGTCCTAGCCCTGTGCCAGCCAGAGGCCCGCCTGCCCCTTGCCCAGGACCCCCCGTCCTGGGGGGGAGAGGCTGCACACCCCAGCGGTGGTGGGCCGTGCGGGGCTGGGCAGCCGTGCCCGTGACACCTGTGCCGTGCCCACTGTCGGCACTGGCAAAGGGAGGTCTCTCTTCTTGGCAGCAATTAAAGTCTGTTCTTCCTTTCGTTGGCATCTGAGCGCGTCTGTGAGCGGGTAAACGGAGGCCCTGGGGGCACTTTAAGCAAGATTATGTCCGGGCGGGGGTCTGAGGACTTGATTCTTCATCCCCTCACCCCGAGAAGAGCTTCCAGCTCCTTTCAGAGCCCAAGTCCCAGCCGCTCCGAGGACAAGAACGAGATGCACCAGCCGACCACACCTCTCAGCGCAGGCTGTGGCCGCCAGGGGGAAACGGCGTGCCGTGGGGGGTGAGCCAGTCCCGAGGGGCCTCGCTTTATAGGAAACCGCTACTTCGGACTTGCCTTTGTTGGTGGGGATGGACTTCCTGTCTCTCCGCTGGTCCCGGAGAGCTGCCTCCGAGGCTGGTTGGGCTCGTGGGCCATGGGCCATGGAGAAAAGGGATGAAGGCTGAGGGTACGTGACCAGGGCAGTGGCCTGGTGAGTCCCTGGTCACTGTCCCCCCCTGGTGAATGGTGGAGGCTGAGGCCAGCTCTGAGCAGCCCCTGAGAGCCCACTGTGGGCCTTTCCTCCCAACGTCACAGTCCACAGCTCGTGTTGGCCGCTTGAAACGGGCTATGGGAGTGTTTACACCACGGAAAGCGGCCAACACCTACACAGCGGGGTTTCTTTTCCCCAGGGAGTCAGTTGTCAAATAGTCCCCAGCACAACCCTGAGCAAATCAAACCGGATTCTTTTCTAGGAGTCCCACCCCATTTTGGGTAGCATGGCGTATTCAGTGGTGCATACGTCCAGAGCACAGGTGGCTGGGGCGGGATAGCAGGACAGGGCATCTGGGGATGCCGACCAGCAGCCAGTGCTGGGCCAGGCTTTCCTGGTGCCTTCCTCCGAGCAGGAGAGGTGAGGAGGCAGGAGGACCAAGGCCTCCCTGGAGGCTGCTGGGCAGCCTGGGCTCCAGGTCCTCTGTTTGCTGCAGGTGTGCTCGCACCTGAGGGGTTCCTCAGCTGGCTGGGGTCCGGGCTGCAAGCAGGCCGTTGGGTATCTTACCAGGTCTCTCCTGCCGGGTTGTGGGTGTTTGAGGAGCCAGCATGGGAAGGAGCTGGAGGGGAGTGGGAAGGGGGGGAAAAGTGTTTCACTCTTTCCTTAACGCCCCAGTTTTCAGAGCATAACCAAGGTCAGGAGGGGCAGATGCCTATTCTGCTGCCTGGCGGAGGGCACTGGGGAGGCCATGGCTCCTTCCACTAACGGCCCACTTGTCCTCTCATGCTTCCACACAGGTCGTGCACCCCAGCCTCCGGGGCACCTTCTGCACCCCCCTCCTGAGCCTCCTGAGGCAGGGGTAGGCTTTGTGACCATGCCAACCACCAGTCTCAACTTTCTGCAGTCTGATCAGACAGTTACCGCTTGTCCACCTGCCTCCTGTTTTCTACAATTTTGTTAGAGCCTCTAATCGGCTGTCTTCCTTCTCTCCTCCCAACCTTCTGTGGGTGGGTAGCTTTGAAATTTTTCATTTATAATGTTTTTAAAAATACGTGGTTTTTTTTTTAAATTAATTTCAGAGAGGAAGGGAGAGGGAGAGAGAGAAACATCAACGATGAGAGAGAATCACTGATCGGCTGCCTTCTGCACACCCCACACTGGGGACTGAGCCTGCAACGCTGGGCATGTGCCCTGACCAGGAATTGAACCGTGACCTCCTGGCTCATAGGTTGACACTCAACCATTGAGCCACACTCACTGGCCGGGCAAAACCGCCTTGATTGCCATTGTAGTGGGGTTTGGAAAAGGAGCAGAGATAATATAAGTGTTCTATGTACAGCCAAACGTCCTCATCCTCCATCCACTCCATCGTCCACCTGCTGAACCCCAGCGCCGCCTGGGTCCTCGGGCCTCAAAGACGAACAAGAACCACCTCTGTGCGCCCAGACCAGACAGTCTTGGGGACAGTGGGGGCAAGGCCAGCGTCTTCACTCCCTTACCTGCCCTCTCCTCCGTCCCTTGCAGAATGGTCGCCCCCTGGAGGTTCGCCTTGGTAGAGCAGCCTCCACGGAGGCTCCAGGAACCTGTTCAAGAAGCGGCTGGTCCCAGTGGGTCTAGGTGGGATGGTCCCAGGAGCAGAGCTGGTGCTCCGGGTTCTGTGTGCTTCCGTGTGGGAGGCGGTGGGGGGCGGGCAGCCTTGAAGGGGGGTCATCAGGCCCGGGTTTGCGGCCCCTCCAGTCTCTTCCCTCCGGCACTGCCCACCTGTCCCTTCCCTTGGTGCCATTCTGCTGGTGGATCCTGTCCCTCTGGTGTGGCATCTGTCCCGGGGGATTCCTGCGGACAAAGCAGCCCGGGGAGCCACGAGGCCTCTCTTCCCGTCCACTCCGCGTACTGCCTCTCCTGGGCCCGAGAAGTGAGTCCCAGGCCTCCCTGACGTGGCGTCCGTGTCTTCAGGGAGAAAGGGGAGTGGGCCTGAGAGGGCCACCGAGGAGGGAGATGCTGTGGGACCTGGCAGGTGCCCCACGAGGCAGGGGCGTGAAGCAGCCCTCCGGCCTGTGGTGTGCGGAGCGCTCTGGTGCCTTCCACCTGAAGCTTCTCGGTGGAGAAGGGAGAGCTTTCCCTGGAGGCCAGGGTCTTGCTCTGGTGGCTCAGCATCCTGAGCTGCTGAAGGGTGTGCACCTGAGGAAGGGCTGCTGGGCGGGGGTCCCTTTCCTTGCCAGGCAGTGGGCTCAGCCTGGGAGTGCAGGCAGTGGACTCAGCCTGGGAGTGCAGGCAGTGGACTCAGCCTGTGGGTGCAGGCAGTGGACTCAGCCTGGGAGTGCAGGCAGTGGACTCAGCCTGTGGGTGCAGGCAGTGGACTCAGCCTGGGAGTGCAGGCAGTGGACTCAGCCTGTGGGTGCAGGCAGTGGACTCAGCCTGGGAGTGCAGGCAGTGGACTCAGCCTGTGGGTGCAGGCAGTGGACTCAGCCTGTGGGTGCAGGCAGTGGACTCAGCCTGGGAGTGCACGCAGTGGACTCAGCCTGTGGGTGCTGGCAGTGAACTCAGCCTGTGGGTGCAGGCAGTGGACTCAGTCTGGGGGTGCAGGCAGTGGACTCAGCCTGTGGGTGCAGGCAGTGAACTCAGTCTGGGGGTGCTGGTGGCGGGCTCAGCCTGGGGGTGCTGGCAGTGGCTCAGCCTGTGGGTACATGTGGGTCCGGCAGTGGGTTCGGCCTGTGGGTGCAGCAGTGGGCTCAGCCCGTGGGTGCGGCAGTGGGCGTCCTGCAGTGGAAGGGGGGGTTGCTCCCTGGACAGAGCTGCCGCCCCTCTGAGCTGACCAGCAGCCCCAGGAGGCACAGCCTGACATTCTTACACACAAAATGGCATGCGAACCACCACCTTGGTGCTTTCATTCTCAATCTGCCTCGGAGGGCTCGGGTGTGTTTGTTTAAACGAAGAGGGGATTCTTTTCCAAACGTAACCGGCACCGTGCACCGTGCAGAGGCAGTGAGGATGGCCGTGGGCTCAGCAGCTCCACAGCGGAAGTTGGCATCTCTGGCCTTTCCCTCTGCTATAGCCTCCGGGTCTGAATGAGGCCTCTGCATTCCAGGCCACGCTCACATCCAAGGCCAAAAGCAGGGGAGGGCCGGGCAGCACCAGCGGCGTCGTTATCACTTTTTATCGAGAAAGCGTTTCCCCAGAAAACCCTGGCAGACCTTCACTCGCATTTCTTTGGCTGCACCATGTCCTGCAGCCACGTTAGCTGCCCGAGAGGCTCAGAAAACAAGTCTCTTTCCCAGCAGCGTCTTGTAGGAGAGGCAGGCGAGGGGGCGGGGCGGGGGGCGGGGCTGAATCCAATGAGGTTTTAACGAAGGCCTCCACCTTCTCTGGAGCCCGCAGCAGGTGGATGTCGCTCCCCACACACAGGCAGGGCCGTAGCTAATGGGCTTAAAGGGACAGAGACAGGGTTGCTGTCATCCAGGGACACTGCTGTGCGCAAGACTCAATGTAACGGCATCTAATCCGAAGGCAACAGCACGCCACCCTGAAGCAGACACGAACTAATGCAGCAACGGCCAATGTGGGGCTCTCACTCTTTGCCAGACCGGGTTCTAAATGCTTCCCGTTTATCGATTTTAATTCACTGCATCCTCTTCCCAGCCCTGTGCGGTGGGCACCCTGAGCTCCATCTGAAGAATGAAACTGAGGCCCAGGGCAGTTAAGGTACTTGCCAAGGTCACCCGGCAAGCAGTGTGAGCCAGAAATAAAGCTGTGATGCTTCCAGCCACTGAGGTTTTAGGGTGGTTCGCTCTATAGCATCCCCTGGCCAATTCTGAGATATTTATGCATGCATTCTGATATGTAATGTATGTTATATGTAACATAGATTGCATGCCATTGATATAAGTTAATTCATATGTAAGTATATTGATGTCATTATATAGTTACATATTTTATGTATATACTAAAGGCCCGATGCATGAAGATTTGTGCGAGAATGGGCCTTCCTTCCCCTGGCTGGCAGCACCGCCTTCTCTCTGGACCGAAGCTGCCTTTCTGCGTTGGCTCTGGCTCACAGCCGCCTTTCCGCCTCACCCGCTGCCCAGAGGCCCCGAGCAGCTGGGGTCAGGTGGAATGCCCCTGGCTGCCCAGCGCCTTCATATGCAAATTAACCACCAGCTTTGGTGTGTTAATTTGCATACCCATTCCTGATTGGCTGGTGGGCATCACAAAGGTATGGTCAATTTGCATCTTTTTTAGTAGTGTAGATAAGTACATTTACATAAATACTCGTGAATATACATTCACTCTGAAGAAACAGTGCTTTGCACCTGGAATAAAGAATCCTCTCCTTGCAGCCTGGCAGCAGGGGAGGGCCGGGCACATAGCTGGGGGTCCTGAGAGAAGCTTGGCAAGCCTGGCGCTGCTAGAAAAACTCATGACATTTGTGCAGTATTTATTTCCTTAAAAGTATATTTTTGTTGCTTTCAGAGAGAAAGGGATAGGGAGAGAGAGATAGAAACATTAATGATGAGAGAAAAACATTGATCACCTGCCTCCTGCACACCCCGCACCGGGGATCAAGCCCCCATCCAGGGCATGTGCCCCGACCGGAAATTGAACTGTGACCTCCTGGTTCATAGGTTGGTATTCAATCACTGAGCCACACTGGCTGGGCTGTGCAGTATTTAAAGTTACAGTCTTTGTATCAGTCAGGAGAGGGTAGATTAGCTGAGGTAACAAACCACCCCCACAAGGCATCCCTTCCCCAAGTATAAAAGACACTTTTGTGCTAGAGTATCTGTGTACAACCTGGACACGATCCAAGTGCCTGCTGGGAAAGCAGAAATGTGGGTGCTGGTCCCTCTGGCTGGGGTGGGGACAGGCGCAGTCCACGTGTAGAGGAGGGAGAAGTTGGGGAGGGGCAGAGCCGGACACTCCCAGTAGCACCCTGCTTCAGCGCACCTGGATGCTGGCTCCCAAATGAACCGCTGCTCGTCTGTGGTGGAGGACGTCCCATATGGTCAGATCAAGCTGTTGCTGCACAGACGGGCCCTCCGGCTCGGCCGGGAGCTTTCCGGGACCAGCAGGTAGCAGCTCATCCACGCGTGTGTGCCCCAGCCTCTTGTCACACACACACACACACACACACACACACACACACACACGCCCCGGGCCCTGGGGGGTGAGGTGTTGGATTAAAAGTCAGTTGCTGGGCTGAATTCACGCCTTGCAGGATGGGAAAGGCGCGGCCTCCGGGAATATGGGCGTGTGGTCAGGACGGGACGGGGAGGGTCTGTGCGTGGCTGTAAACGCTCGCGCAGGGCATTGCAGGAGGGCGTTCTCTCCACGGCTGCTTCGGGCTCGTCGTGGGAGCCACACTCTGCATCACCAAGTGCTCTTCCACGTGAGCCACCAGAAGGGATTGAACCCCTCAGTTGTGAGGGCCAAACCGGTGCACAGCCTGGTAATACGCAGCACCCCCAGAGCCCCAGCTCTGGAAGGGGACCCGCTCTATGTCAGGGTCCCTCCACTCCAAGTCCAAGGGAAGAGCCTGCTCTAAAGAGGACGAGGAGGGAGTGGAGGTCACGGGATCAGAGCGGCTGCTGGCTGGCACCCGTCTGCCCTGGTAAAACGGGATAAGGAGGCTGCCAACCGGGTAAGGAAATCCTCTCATCTTCAGCTCAAGGCTGTAATCCCGGGCCTCGTGCGAGAGTTGGTTCTATTTTCGCTCCTCTGCTCCGGGAGCAGCCGTTGGCGGCAAGGACTTAAGGCGCTTGCAACCGGTTCTCTGGCACCTGCCGCATTGGGGTGTCGGCTGGCTCAGCCCCCCTACCTTCTCCCTTCCGCTCACCTCCTCCCGACGCTTCCCTGAACTGGGTCATCGGCGCCTTCCTCGCTCAGACATGGACGACTCAGGCCTGTGAGCCAGGAGGGCCCAGTTCTCAGAAGCCAGGCCGCCCTGTGCAGGGGGCGTGGGCATGGGCTTGTGCACCGCAGGCGTCCGCTTCCGCGGGCCTGCACGATGGGCAACGTGATGGAGGGGAAGTCGGTAGAGGAGCTGAGCAGCACCGAGTGCCACCAGTGGTACAAGAAGTTCATGACCGAGTGCCCCTCGGGCCAGCTCACCCTCTACGAGTTCCGCCAGTTCTTTGGCCTCAAGAACCTGAGCCCGTCCACCAGCCAGTACGTGGAGCAGATGTTTGAGACCTTCGACTTCAACAAAGTGAGCAGGGGCCTGGGTGTGGGTGATGGAGGGAGCCCCCATCTGCCCTGGGTGCGGGGGGTGTGGGGGGGACGAACGGACGGACAGGGAGAGCAGATGTGAGAACAGCAGGGACTGCGGAGGATGGACTTCATTTGCACAGGTCTTTGCTCACCTGGGAAGCTGAACGCCCAGTTAGGGACACTGGTCTCACACTCATGGAGCACCTCCTGAGAGCCAGGCACGGGGGTGCGGAAGGAGGTGGACCATCCCTGCCCAGGCTCCAGGGGAAGACAGACAGGCCCCGGGTTAGTGTTCACAGACTGAGCTGAACGGCTCCCCTGGCCTCCCACACACACATTGGGATTTACTCCAGAACGAGGGTGAACACTTACAAGACAGTCACTGAGCACCTATAAGTGCTTGATGCCACACGTGGTGATCTGGCACAGAGGCTCACAAGGATGCAGAAGGAGGGGTGGGGAGCAGAGAGCAGGGTGAGGAGGTTTCAGCCCCGCTGGTCCGGGTCGGGCAGGCCCACGTGTCTTGGGTCATGCGTGATGGTCTGTGGACACTAGGCCTGGGGACAGGCGGGGTGGCCTGGCCACTGGGGAATCCAGGCCACTCCAACTCCAGAATACCCGGTGACCTCAGTTCCCCTTGCTCAAGTGGGCCGAAGGGTATATGTCTCCTCAAGGAATTGCCTGGACGCGTTGGGTGAAGCCTGCCGGAGAAGCGAGAGGGAACACTGACAAAGGAGTTAGGCCCGTGGGTTTGGGCCCCTGGTGTTCACCAGCTGGGTGACCTTGAACCCATTCTCTGACCCTCAGCCTCAGCTTAGTTATCTGTATCTGCCATGGACGTCGGGGCATTAGTCAGGATGGTTGTTAGTTTTCCAATAGCAAATCCTGCATTTATTTGGAACAATTCAGTCAAGATGTAGTGATGGAAGAGCCCATAGCTGGTCTTCCCGCCCTGGCTGGTCCCCACCCCCCTGGCGCTCCCTGGAAAGGTGAGGTGTGAGGATGCCCTGCGGGGGGTCTGCCGCACGCTGGGGAGAGGCTGCCCAGAGCTTTCCCGGCTCCGCTCACCACCCGGAGAGCCAAACACCCTTGTAGGCAGGGCTTGTAGGGAAAGCCAGGGCTCAGAGGCTATTTAAAACGGGCTAATATCTGGGGTCAAGGGGCCAAAGCAGATTATGAGCTTTGAGTCCCAGCCTCAAGGGCAGCAGCGTCATGAGGGCTTTCCTAAAGGGGGCGCAAGGGAGCAGAGTCCTGGAGCCTGAGCATGGTGACCTGGAGGGATGGCATTGGCACGCTGGGCCTCCCAAAGCTGCCAGAAGTAGCCATAATTCCTGAGCGGGCGGGTGGGGAAGGGGGGGGGGAGAGAAGCCTCAACACCTTACACCCAGTGCCCCCAAATAGCTCAGCTTCTCCCGAAGTACGGATCCTTTGGGGTAAGACATTTCTCCAAAAGGACCCTCTAAATCCTACCCAGGTATGACACCAGGGAGGGGTGACCACCAACCTCACGATTGCCTAACCCAGTGGTCAGCAAACTGTGGCTCACGAACCACATGCAGCTCTTTGGCCCCTTGAGTGTGGCTCTTCCACAAAATACCACGGCCTGGGCGAGTCTATGTTGAAGAAGTGGCATTAGAAGGAGTTTACGTTTAAAAAATGTGGCTCTCCAAAGAAATTTCAACCGTTGTGCTGCTGATAGTTGTTGGCTCTGCTGACGAATGAGTTTGCTGACCGCTGGCCTAGTCCCGCCCGGAGCACGTCTTGCCTTCTGATGCAGGATGCTGAACAGCATTCAGCCACTGTGCATGCCTGTCTCCCTGCTGGAACGTGAGCTCTGTGCGGGCAGGGAGTGTTTCCTTAAAATCAGTGCCCGGAGCACAGGGGGTACCTCACAGGGATTGGTTATATGAGTGAATGGGTGTATGCGGACTCCTGGGTTTATGGCCAGTTCTATATTTCACACTAATGTTCATTTAAAATCAGTTATTGGCCGGGACCGGTTTGGCTCAGTGGATAGAGCGTCGGCCTGCGGACTGAAAGGTCCTGGGTCAATTCCAGTCAAGGGCATGTACCTTGGTTGCGGGCACAATCCCCAGTGGGGGGTGTGCAAGAGGCAGCTGGTCGATGTTTCTCTCTCATCGACGTTTCTAACTCTCTGTCCCTCTCAATTCCTCTCTGCATAAAATCAATAAAATATATCTTAAAAAAAATTTAAAAAAATAAAATCAGTTATTGAAGTGAAGAGCATCCTTGTAACATCCCCAGTGCCTCGTGGACGCCAATGGTCTGAGTCCCATTGTCCCGAGCACAGAGCAGGCGAGTGGCTTGGCCAGGACATTGGTACAGAGGGGAGTTAGAGCTGGGTGTGCAGGCCATGGCCCTGGGTCTGCATTTACAGGCGAACACACCACACCCATGCGGTTACCTTTTGTCAAAACGGAAACACTGGCCGTCGGGCCCTTTACAGAAAGTGCCTGCCAGCCTGAGTGAGAGGAGGGAGCCGCTGGGTGAGCAGGGAGTGGGGGAGTGTGACTGGGGCACAAACACATGCTTTGCTTATTTCTAAGTTTTGGGAGGGCTTGGCCGTGCCCGCGGTCACACAGGTGCGCCCAAGCCAGGGTGAATTTCCCACACGCATGTCCGAGCGCCAGGTGGGGCCAAGGAGGCCCGGGTTCAGGCAAGCACTGGCACTCACTGGCTGTGCGGCCTGACCTTTCTCAGCCTCAGCTCTCTCAGCCAAAAACAGAGACAAAACTCCCAGCTCCGGGGAGCGGTGGTGAGGTTAAAGGAGCTCAGCACAGGAAGCATAAGGAGCAGCGAGCTTGCTGCAGGATCTTTCTGAACCAGCCACAGCCCAATCTGGAAGCACGCACACTGCCTCTGCCATCCTAGAGTGAGGACCCTGGCCTCCAGGCGGCCCTGTGCTCGGCCGAGGTCACCCCTCTCCTATGACGTGGTTAGGGCTTTCTGAAGGAAAAGCCCGTATCTTTCCATCGATCCTTTAGTTTTTTTTATTTATTTTTATCATTATTTTAAATATATTTTATTTGTTTTTCACAGAGAGGAAGAGAGAGGGTTAGAGAGTTAGAAACATTGATGAGAGAGAATCATCAATCAGCTGCCTCTTGCACACCCCCTACTGGGGATGTGCCTGCAACCAAGGTACATGCCCTTGACCAGAATCAAACCTGGGACCTTCCAGTCCATAGGGTGACGTTCTATCCACTGAGCCAAACCGGTTTTGGCTGCTTTTTTATTTTTTAAAAAATATATTTATTGATTGATTTCAGAGAGGGAGGGAGGAGAGAGAGATAGAAACATCAATGATGAGAGAGAATAATTTATCGGCTGCCTCCTGCATGCCCCCTACTGGGGATGGAGCCTGCAACCCAGGCATGTGCCCTTGGCTGGAATCGAACCTGGGACCCTTCAGTCCACAGGCTGACCCTCTATCCACTGAGCCAAGCCGGCTAGGGCTCCATCGATCCTTTTAGTCATTAAACTACTACAACAACAACAAATTGCACAAGTGACACAGCACGTTGTAGAGTTTCCAACAACACAGAGAGAGAAAAGCGAAAAGCAGAGGCATCCTCCCCTGAGTCCCCGCCGAGGAAGCCTGTTTCCCAGCCGCCCCGGCCTCGCTCCATGCGGTCCTGGGAGGCGGGTGGGCGAGGACCCGGGGCTGAGGCGTGTGGGCATGGGGCAGCACAGGACGTTCGCTGTGTCCACAGTCCTCGCTGTGGGCTCACCGTGGGCACGGCCTCACCCCGGGCCAAGGGCCGGCACAGAGCCGGGCCTCAGAGGCCGGGCCGCCAGCCCCTGCCACATCCCTAGGAACTGCGCTGGCTTCTGCTTGCACATGTCCGGCGGAGGGAGCTCATCACTGACCGAGGCTGGCCCTTCCGGGGGCAGCTCTGCCTGTGAGAGTTCCTCCAGCTTCTCCGCGACTTCCTGGCCCGAGTCATGGCTGTGAGTGGAGGAGTGGGAGCCGGACCCCGAGTCCACGTGCTCTGACCTGGTGCTCCTGCCCTTACTGGGCACAGCCTGTCTGCGAGACAGGTTCCCTCGCAGCCTCACTCGGTTTGGAGCGAGGGGGCAGAGAACGTGGTAGGACTGGCCAGGCCACAGACGGCCAGCTGGTGAGCCCTCAGGGAACCCCAAAGAAATGTCCTGCAGGAATGCCCCCTCCCCCCAGGGCCAACCTCTCCAAGAGCCGGTGAGGGCCTCGGCTCCCTCAGGAAGCCACCCTCAGCCCCCTGCCCTGGCCCAGCAGAGTGGGTGCTCTGACCTGTGATCCCATAACGCCCTGTCCGGACGTGTTGTTGCCAGGGGCAACACCGGACAGCACGGTGATCTCTTTACAGTGGCGGTGACAATAACAGCTAACACTTACCGAGTGCTTACTCTAGGCCAGGCGTGTTGAGTGGTGTCCATACTCATGTCACCCCACGCCCCACGGAGGCAGGTGCCGTCATGATTATCACGGGAGAAACAAGCTGGGTTTGGGTCCTTGCGTCCACACCGACCCCCGGCCCTCACCGAGCTGGGAAAGCTCACCCAGCCCCCAGGACCCCTGGGAATCCGCGTCTCCCTCCCACCCACAAGCCGCTGGAAGGGCTGGGGTCTGAGAAGCACCGGGAGGCAGCAGGGACCGCACCAGCCCAGTGCCACCCACAGCCCAGCGCGGGTAGCTTGTCAGTGACCGAAGCCTCTGGGCAGGGCGGGCGGGCTCTGGGCAGCCAGGACAGAGGGGGTGGGCACCCGGGGTTGGGGGGAGAGGGCTCACCGCGGCCTCCCCCGCCCAGGACGGCTACATTGACTTCATGGAGTACGTGGCGGCCCTCAGCCTGGTCCTCAAGGGGAAGGTGGACCAGAAGCTGCGCTGGTACTTCAAGCTCTACGATGTGGACGGCAACGGGTGCATCGACCGGGACGAGCTGCTCACCATCATCCGGGTAACTCCAGGTGCAGCGGGCCGGCCTGGGCGGGGCGGCGGCTGGCGGACTGGAGCTCAGAGCGGGTTTGGGTCCGCGGGCAGAGCTGCGATCTCTGCAGGGGGCAGGATGGAAGGGGGGTCCCTGGGGCAGCTCTGACCCTCACGTTCCTTCCCCTGTCTGGGCCTCAGTTTCCTCCTGTGTCCCAAGAGACGGAATAGCTCTTAAGTCTCAGCTCTGCCTCCACTCCCCACACAGCCCCACCACCACGGAGGCGCGGGCTGAGGTAGGATGGGCCCCTCACTTCTTCCTCCCTGCAGGCCATCCGAGCCATTAACCCCTGCAGCGACTCCACCATGAGTGCGGAGGAGTTCACCGACACCGTCTTCTCCAGGATCGATGTCAATGGGGATGGTGAGGAGGCACGGGCAGGGGTCCCCCGGGGAGAGGTCACCAGGGTGTAGGGTCCCAGCACAGACCTGGATGCTAGTGATCCTGAGACCTGACCTTGGTCTCTGGCTCCTTTGCCTGCCCCCCCTCCCTGCTGCTTCCCCTGCAGTGGCCTTGTGCCCCTCCAAAGACTCCAGCTCTGATCTGATGGAACCCTGGTGCCCAGGAGCCACCCCCCCTACTTCCCCGTGACCCCCTTTCTCTCTCCAGGGGAGCTGTCCCTGGAGGAGTTCATGGAGGGTGTCCAGAAGGACCAGATGCTCCTGGACACGCTGACGCGGAGCCTGGACCTCACCAGCATTGTGCGCCGGCTCCAGAACGGGGAGCAAGACCAGGAGGGGGCCGGGGGTGGTGCGGCTGAGGCGGCCGGTTGAACCAGCCCCCGTGCTTCTGTGTTGGGTGGCGGGAAGGTGTGGTGGTGCTGGTGTCGCCATTGTTGCTTTTATAGTAGATAGTCTTCAGAACGAACTCTCAGCTCAGCTGGCCTCTTTGGTCTGCCCGGTGGTAGCACAGGGCCAGGCTGGGGTCCAGAGGTGGGGACAGTGAAGGACAGTTTCTGAACCTGTGTGACTCCGTTGGTGGTGATTGCTTCCTGCTGGGAGCACTCAGCAGCCCTCTGCCATCGGCCACTCCCCAGCTTCCCCGCCCCTTCTCCCCCAGCTTCTCCAGGCCCCCTCTCTAGGCATGGAAGTGCCCAGGCTGATCTGATGGAACCTCCGGGGCCTGTGGCCGCAGCCTCCATCCCATTGCTACAAGGAGCTCCAGGACCACCCAGCCAATGTGTGTGCTTTGCATGGACTTGCCCTTCCCATTCAACAAGCATTTATGGAACACGTGCTGTGTGCTAAGGCTAGATGTTAGGTGTGCAGAGAAGAGGAGCCTTCTCATCTTCAAGGAACTCACAGACTAAGCTCGTGATAATGTCTAAAACTAGTGGCCCGGTGCATGAAATTCGTGCACATTAAACGGCGATTAATTAGAGGAAGTATTTTAATATTGCTATTTGCCCTTTTTCTGTAATAGGTCAGAGATGAAAGAAAATTAGTAAAATGTATATGAAAACCTTCCTCCTGTCAGAGTCCGGGGTGTGCCAAGAGACCTAGAGTCAAGTCCCGCCCACCAGCCACACGTGCTTTGAAAACAAAGGAGACCCAGACACGGCCAGCCCCACCCCCATTGGGTGAGACCCAGACCCAGCTGGCCCCACCCCCATCAAGCTCCTCTGGAAAGGGGTGCAGCCTCAGGTCCTCCAGCCTAGTGCTGGGTGGGGGGCGTGGCCTAAGGTCTCCCATCAAGCCCCAACAGGCGAGGGGCGTGGCCTGAGGTCTCCTGTCAAGCCCTGATGAGCGAGGGGCGGGGGGGGGGGGGGGGGGGGGGGGGGAGGGCGGTGTGCGGCCCGAGGTCCCCCGGCCTAGTGCTGCGGTGAGGGGCATAGCCTTTGGTCTCCCGGCCTGGCGCCAGGGTAGGGGGTGCGGCCTGAGGTCCCTCGCCCCGGCCAGGTGCCATGCAGCCTCAGGTTCCTGATGTTCAGTCATGATGTTCCAGCATCCTGGCTAATTTGCATATTCCTCTATTATATAGATAGATGTGCTAAGGGAAGCTATGCATGGACTCCTGCAGGGGCACAGGGAACTGAGAGTGAGTCGGGCTCAGAGACAGCCTCACAGAGGTGGTCCTTGACTTTGAACATGAAGGAGGAATTGGGTTGCATGTGGAGAAGGTGGTGTGGGGGGAGGTTGGAGGATGCATTCTGTGTGATGTGTTTGTGTCGTATGGGGGGTCTGTGTGACATGGGGAGGAGTTTCCTTAGGTGTAAGTTGAGGGTGTCTCTTAGGATTTACATTTTACCAAATTTGAAACAATAAGGGGTCATCATATCCATTTTCAGGGAGCACCTCCAAGAGCCCTAGTTGTGGGGCCGTTTGGGGCGGGGGAATACCTCCTTCAAGAGGTTACAGTGGCCGAGACTGGTTTGGCTCAATGGATAGAGCGTCGGCTTGGGGACTGAAGGGTCCCGGGTTCAATTCCGGTCAAAGGCATGTACCTTGGTTGCGGGCATATCTCCAGTAGGGGGCGTGCAAGAGGCGGCTGCTCGATGACTCTCATCGATGTTTCTAACTCTCTATCTATCTCCCTTCCTCTCTGTAAAAAATCAATAAAAATATATATTAAAAAAAAAAAAGAAGAGGTTACAGTGCTTTTGAGGAGATGAGGACGGAGTGTTTGGATGGGAACGCAGATCCGAATCATGCCTAATGACGGGCCACACGTGCGTGCATTCACACCCTGTGGGAAGGTATGCTGGAGTCGGATGTTGACCAGAAAGTGAAGGAGGATGAGGTGGTATTATAGAAAGTCCTCGATGATCCAGGGGAAACCCATATTTATTCAGAAGTGACCGTGCAAACCTCCTGCTTCCTTGCTGGCTGCCTGGTGGCAGGGGTGCCTGCGCCTGGTCCCACAGCTCTGTGATCACTGGAGCGGCCGGGCCAGCCAATCTCTCTAGCTGGAGCAACACCTGGCATCAGTCGGAAAGTGGGGCGATCTGTTCCGGGTGGGGCGTTCTTTGCACACCCCAACTTCAGGACAACCTGTCCAAGGACCTTGGAGACCGGCTGAAGCCCTTGTGCCCATTTTTCAAGATGCTCTCTCTTCTGGGTTGTGCGTCTTCATTTCACTGGGTGTGTGTGGGGTGCATGGAGTTGATAAAAACGCAGAGGGAGGGAGGAAAGGGGGAGAGGGAGAGAAGCCCTGGCTGCAGAGAGCCCCCCTGGGGGCTGAGAGGGCGCATGTTGTCACACCTATCCTGTCCATCACGTGGAAGCCAGCCAGGGCCTGAGCACGGACACGGAGGGAGGTGAAGGTCAATGCCGGGGCAGCTGCAAACACAGGGAGCTGGCACTTCTGCTCTCTGGCGGCAGATCCTGAAGGTCAGAGCTGGGAGGGTGTCTAGACCATTGGATAAGGACGTTTCCCCATCATCACCCCACCCCACCTTCATGATTTGGGGCATTTCTGTGTCCCACCTGGATTATTACTTTTTCTGTAATCAACCATTTTTCACCTAAAATTTATTCCTATAAAAGCCTTTATATGAACATCAGACCTATGAAACACAGGGTCAGCAGGTTGGTTTTATTTCTCTACATCAACACAAAAGCACCTCTTCAGGGTAAAGCAGTGTTTTCCCGGGCCCCACTAAAGTGGTCACGCTGGGTGGCACTGCCCGGGGCCTCGTGCTCTCAAGGGTGCCTCCGGCTCAGCCCCCACCACCAGAGTGGCTCCATTTTAATCTAGTTTCTACATTGGGGTTGTGCGCAGAATTTGTGTAACGAAAATAATTCAAATTCCAAAAAATAATCATCTGAACATGCTGGCCTGGTCCAGGCCTCCTGTGCAGACCAGGTAACCGAGGTCCGAAGGAGAAGTGGCCGTCGGGGTCACAGAGCAGGTCTGACCTAGAACCCAGGTCATCAGCGCGCGACCTCCCCCCCCCCCCCCTCTGTTCTCCCCAGTTCTCTCCATTCCCTAAGGAGATATGCTGGGCTTGTGGCTGGGAATCGCAGGAGGGCAATGCTGGGGAGGGCGTTGGAGAGGCAAGTGTGGGGGCCAGAGGTAGGGAGGGGAGCAGAGGGTGGGGTGCAGCGGGGGCTGAGGGAGCAGATGCTAACCCTCCGAGGGCGGGAGAGCCCAGCCTGCCTCGCCACAGTGTCCCTGCTGACACCCAGGAGGGGACAGTGGGGAGGAGTGAGCACTCTCTGTGAACATCCTCAGGATCCGGGGGGAGGTAGCTACCCCCTCACACACCAGGTGAGTCTCCTTCAGACTCAGCACCTCCCAGGCCCGCCCCCTGCCAGCCTGCCTCCCACTGGGTGGGCATTCTCACTGTGAGCTGGGCCTGTGGGACCCACCCTCAGGGCGCCCTGCTTCCAGCTAAGAGTCATGTAGGGATTGGTGGGGGGGGGGGGCACCATGTTGACCAGAAAGTGAAGGAGGATGAGGTGGTATTATAGAAAGTCCTCGATGATCCAGGGGAAACCCATATTTATTCAGAAGTGACCGTGCAAACCTCCTGCTTCCTTGCTGGCTGCCTGGTGGCAGGGGTGCCTGCGCCTGGTCCCACAGCTCTGTGATCACTGGAGCGGCCGGGCCAGCCAATCTCTCTAGCTGGAGCAACACCTGGCATCAGTCGGAAAGTGGGGCGATCTGTTCCGGGTGGGGCGTTCTTTGCACACCCCAACTTCAGGACAACCTGTCCAAGGACCTTGGAGACCGGCTGAAGCCCTTGTGCCCATTTTTCAAGATGCTCTCTCTTCTGGGTTGTGCGTCTTCATTTCACTGGGTGTGTGTGGGGTGCATGGAGTTGATAAAAACGCAGAGGGAGGGAGGAAAGGGGGAGAGGGAGAGAAGCCCTGGCTGCAGAGAGCCCCCCTGGGGGCTGAGAGGGCGCATGTTGTCACACCTATCCTGTCCATCACGTGGAAGCCAGCCAGGGCCTGAGCACGGACACGGAGGGAGGTGAAGGTCAATGCCGGGGCAGCTGCAAACACAGGGAGCTGGCACTTCTGCTCTCTGGCGGCAGATCCTGAAGGTCAGAGCTGGGAGGGTGTCTAGACCATTGGATAAGGACGTTTCCCCATCATCACCCCACCCCACCTTCATGATTTGGGGCATTTCTGTGTCCCACCTGGATTATTACTTTTTCTGTAATCAACCATTTTTCACCTAAAATTTATTCCTATAAAAGCCTTTATATGAACATCAGACCTATGAAACACAGGGTCAGCAGGTTGGTTTTATTTCTCTACATCAACACAAAAGCACCTCTTCAGGGTAAAGCATGTTTTCCCGGGCCCCACTAAAGTGGTCACGCTGGGTGGCACTGCCCGGGGCCTCGTGCTCTCAAGGGTGCCTCCGGCTCAGCCCCCACCACCAGAGTGGCTCCATTTTAATCTAGTTTCTACATTGGGGTTGTGCGCAGAATTTGTGTAACGAAAATAATTCAAATTCCAAAAAATAATCATCTGAACATGCTGGCCTGGTCCAGGCCTCCTGTGCAGACCAGGTAACCGAGGTCCGAAGGAGAAGTGGCCGTCGGGGTCACAGAGCAGGTCTGACCTAGAACCCAGGTCATCAGCGCGCGACCTCCCCCCCCCCCCCCTCTGTTCTCCCCAGTTCTCTCCATTCCCTAAGGAGATATGCTGGGCTTGTGGCTGGGAATCGCAGGAGGGCAATGCTGGGGAGGGCGTTGGAGAGGCAAGTGTGGGGGCCAGAGGTAGGGAGGGGAGCAGAGGGTGGGGTGCAGCGGGGGCTGAGGGAGCAGATGCTAACCCTCCGAGGGCGGGAGAGCCCAGCCTGCCTCGCCACAGTGTCC